GTGTGTGTGTGTGTGTGTGTGTGTGTGTGTGTGTGTGTGTGTGTGTGCGCGCGTGTGTGTGCAAGACAGGGGATGTGTGTGATCAAATGTGTTGTTGAAGTCTTAAAGGCAACATCATGACAAGGTGCCTGGTTATCGGTGAGCAGTGTGTGTGTTTGTTTTTTTCTGGCATTCCCACTCGGCTGAATGGTGTTTATATTGTTGACAGGTAAGTAGTGAGGATGCGGGGGCGGGGGGGTACTGTCATCAACTTTCAGCACTTGGAACAAAATAAACTCCAGTCACTTCACTAGTGACCATTAGTGAACAGTGCTATTTGGATGATGAACTCACGGTTCACAGTGACACGTGTCGTCCCGAGGCTCAGCAAAAGAAGCACTCCACCGAGAAAATGTCCTCGTTGACTTTTCTTTTTGCCGTCTTCTCTGTCCATCGTTATTTGTTGATTTATTTTTTTATTTTTTTTAATTTGCTGTTTTAAATGATGAGAACAGGCCTACGTTTTTGTTGTGTTTTTTTAATGTCATCTCAAACTCACAAAGGCTTCTTTTTCATTATTTATGTTCTTTTGGGCATTGTCTTTGATAACCACAGCTCAAATAAACCTGAGAAACCAACACATGATTCTGTTTTTGTTCATTTAACTTGCTGTACTTGTTTAAACTACTTCCAGAACTAAATGATAGCTTTAACTAAAGACTGACGGATAACCATTATTTTATAAAGAGTAAAAGTTACCTAAGGTTTAATAGTTTGATGAATAGAAATGCCTCAACATTGTAAATCAATATTTTTACAGATGAGAGCTGCTTTCTGACTTCAAAAAGTTTTTTTTTTTTTATTGCACGCTGCCAAATGGTAAACGATCAAGTGTTTGCCTCTGTCAGTGTCTGTTACTTGCATATCTAATAAACACTAAACAAATCTTAATAAAACTTGTAGAACGTAATCACTGGACGAGTGTCTACGATAACTTTTGGAGTCAACCTGCTCCTATATGGCTGTGATTCAGACAGTTTTAAAGAAAATTAAATGTCTTTGTTGTTTTGAACCACTTTGGCTATGGCTGCCTCAGAGGAGTCGACCGGGGAGATGTCGGACTCCAGAAACCGTCTTATCACCAGTAAACTGGTTGACCCACTATGTGAGTGTGCTGCTTGTGGGACTGAGTTTGTTGTGGCTCCTCGGACTGATGAAGTCCTTTGGATGAAAGACGAACCGTCTCAAAAATTAAAAGAAAGAAACCGTCCAGATGACTTAACTTTGTTGGATGTATAATGTGGTGGAGTAGTAGCTGAGAGTGATCCCCAACACATTCTGAGTGCTACAATATTGTGCATTTGTTATGTGACTATTTCAAGTCAGCTCTGTTTGCAAAAATGTATCACAACATATTTTAAAAAAAACTTTCAAGAAATCATTGGTGGACCTCTGCAGCTAATTACTGTTTGGAGCCAACGCAATTCAAGTTGGCCGCCAAAGCCAACTGACCTCAGACAACGAAAACTGCTACAGCTTGGTCATTTTTACAGATACAAAGCTAAGCTACCATCTTGGACATCATACTGAGCAGCTCGGGACGGTCCTCTCGCCGTCTCTGTTCACCCTCTACACCTCAGACTTCAGGTACAACTCACAACCCTGCCATCTGCAGAAGTTCTCGGATGACTGCCATTGTGGGCTGCATCACTGGTGACCAGGAGGGTGTGGTGGACAGCTTCGTGGAGTGGTGTGGACAGAACCACCTGCAACTCGATGTTGGAAAAACTAAAGAGCTGCAGACTACAGGAGTCCAACACCCCACCCCCAACCCTATCCCTGTCAAAGGAACTAAGGTGGACACTCATCAGGAGAGCTGGCTCAATTCTGGGAGTAGACCAGCAGTCTCTGACAGAGGTGTCTGAGCTGAGGAAACTGCTCCAGATCCTGAACAACACGTCACCCCCCCTGCACGACACACTGGACTATTACCGCAGCACCTTCAGTCATGGACTGAGACCATAGAGGTGCTCCACAGAACGCCACAGGAAGTTCTACAAACTTTTCAACTCCTCCCCCTTTCTGACAATAATATGAATCCTGCACTACAGTAAACATTTTAATGGTTCTGCCAGCACCTGACCTGTTTTGGATCTTAATTGTTGACATTCTCTATTATTTTTTATATCTTGTGTATGTTCCTATATGTACTGAAACTCTGGCACAACAATTTCCTGCAGGATCATGAAGTTCTCATCTTAAGGTGCTATCGTTGTGACATTTTGCAAACATCACATTACATTTTGCACAATAAGTCATTTGTCTTTGTCTTAAAATCTGTCGTTAAAGGCTGCAGGCAATATGTGTTCCTTCTGGAAATGGGGGGTGGGGGTGTTTTAGAACTAATTCAGATAAGAAGTTACGGTACATGTATTTTCTGCATCATTTCAAAGCAAAAAAACTGTCCCTGATTCTCACTCTGTCTGATGACCCAGATCAACATCTGTACCCGGCATTCCCATCTTTCATTCAAATCCAGCTCGTGACGGCTACATAACATTTCTGCCTCGCGGACCAAACCTTCCTCCCCACGAAGATATCAGTGGGCTTCCTGCTCTCGTCTACTGTCCTATATTTCCTTCCTGCACGTCCCAGTCGTATAGGATCTCGTCTTGTTTATGGTTCGTCTTGTGATTTTGTGACTCTGGGGAGTTTCATTACCGATCCCTTTTTAATTTCGACTTGGATCTGCACGCTTCATTGGACACCCATAAGGAATGCTACAGAGCTGCAGGAGATGAGCTTTTTTGTTGTTGTTGTTGTTAGTGAGGAAGAATGATAGTTTTGTTTTTCCATCCACGGTTGAAAACAATGCGCTACCAATTTAGTGCACAATGGCAACGCATTCATAGGGAACATGCAGCAAACAGCAGTTCATTGAACATCTCTTCGCTAGAAAAAGAGTCCCTTGTGGGCTTTATAAATGCACACACTAACTGGAGGGCACTTTAATTAAAATACACTCGTTGCTGTCACAGCGGCCTGTTACAGTCGTTTAAGAGAGACGTTAGTTCAGTCAATTATTCTGTTAATTGGCCGCTGCTCCTGATAGAAAACACTCAGGTTTTCAACAGGCGGACTTCTTTCTTTGTATTTCTGCGCTAATTGATGTGTTGCTCACTGAAAACGCAGGGGGCATTTATGGTCCTCCCACTCAAAGTCTGGTCTTAAAAGGGATTCCATTTAAGGGACATGTGTCTGCAAGTTAAAGTTCCCCCATCACCTTCCTATAAAGGATAGTTTTGTCTTAAAATAAATACACAGCATTCATGAGCATAAGAGGTTCTGGTTAATTTCCTCATCAAGCAAAAATCCCCATTTAGCGTTTGTTCTTCTATTCTTTATTTATTTTATTTAATGATTTTAATTAATTATTTTACAATCAGTTGTGAAATTTTCACACACATTTGCAGAAAATGTACTTCTTTGAATAAAAAACACGTTTGGAGTGAAGAAAAGTAGCTGCTTTGCAATGTCAGTTCTCCCTCACCAATCAGTGATCTGTTTTTGTCCAGTCCCAGAGCCAAAAGGGGGAATTGGAAATTCCCTCTGTTCGCCCGTCCATGCATCTCGTGAGCACAATAACTTGTAAAATTAGCAATGTGCTGACTTAACGTTTTGATTTTAGGTTCATCTAGGCATAAGAAAGGTCCCCATCAAAAATTGGGTTGCCACGTCAAAATCCAAGATGGCTGCCACCTTATAAAAATATATGTAAACTTTGTGAACATGATAACTTTGATGAATAAGTAACATACCAACTTCTTTTTTGGTGCGTGACTGCATCTAGGTGTAAAAATGTTCACTAACAAAGATTGCGTCAAAATCTAAGATGGCTACTGTCATATATATTTGTTAACTGGCCACCTCATTAATTTAAGGAAATTATGCTTTCTATATATGCTATCTATGCTTTATATATATATATATATATATATATATATATATATATAAATCATTTGGGGTGGCCAAAGATC